GCACTTCAATTTAGGACTGGCATCATATCTGCCCTCATTTTCTTTTCTTTAGTTCCAATTGTTACTCTGACGGTTGCTTTGATAGGCTCCTTCCCGATTTTGAGAGTAATGCTCTCTCCCATTTGAGCTCGAGCTGGGTGTCTACTTCTACCTCTAATAGACTGACTATTTCCTGAATGTCGATCCTCTCTCGATTTTGGTTGATAGTCACTCAAACATTCGGCAGCTCCCATAGCTGCCCTTAAATCAGTGACCTTCTGTCTCTGAAGTTCAGTGCGTGTCCACGGTTTGGCCCTTCCATGAAGGTGAACAGCTTATCATTTTTCGACATATCTCGATTATTCAGTATATGTCCTGAAAAGGCTTTCACGTACTCTCTGATAGAGCTGTGTGTTTCAATTCTCGTATGGCTCGTCGTACCTCATATTCTACATTCTCTGGAAAGAACGGAGATCCGATTGCTTCCTTGAGAAGNTGTTTCAGTTCTCGTTAGGCCCGACGTGCCTCATATTCCACATTCTCTGGAAATAATTGAGATCCGATTGCTTCCTTGAGAAGATCCCAAGAATCTATTCAGACCTTGTTGGCCTGAATATCAGTATACTTCGTTTGCCACCATAACTTTGCATCTCTACCTAGATACATGGTAGCTGTTGTATCATTTCTCGCTTCGTCTTGAATCGAAGCAGCAAGAAAGTATTGTTCCATATCAAACAAGATGTTTTCAACTTCTTTAGTATCGCGTGCCCCTCCGTAGGTATACGGTTCTGGAATTCTGAGCCTATGCACAGACTCTTGTATGGTGGCTTGCCCATTGCCAACTAGTAATTGAGCTCATCTCATCTTCCAGATCAGATATATAGCAATAGCTTCAGTCATTGCTGTGCAAGCCATTCGGCTTTCACCGAGTTGGGTGTTTAATTCACGAATCTCCGCCAGACCGCCTCGACTCTTTCGTCGATACTCTCCGCGGCATAGCACAACCTAGCAATTGTCATCTCAAGCGCATCCACGCACTGTTTCATGTTCCTCTTTGAGGATCTACCACCTCTGTAGTACTCAATTCCATTGGATCCATGGCTTTCTTATCGAGAGTCTTGAGCCGCAACTCTAATACCAACTTTCATGGGTTACCTTTTTTCTTAGCACAG